ATGTCTTGTTGTAGAGTGGGAAAACCAAGAATTTAATTCCATGCACACTTCTTTGTTGACATTTTCGTTTGTGCTGTTGAAAAAGAAAAACCCAGCAAAAAGACAAACATGCCCTCAGTTCATTTTCCCATGCTTACAGAGTAGCTTTTTTTTGCTGTGGCAAACACACCTTCCAGACAGGGAGTTGCTTTCGGACTTTAGTGGTTCACTCCCTTCCTGTTTGAGACCAATTATGTCTCATTTGCAATACCATTAGTCAAGGAAGTGGCTATCCTGAGGTCACTTCTCAGCCCACCCTTCCTAAATGGCACTGGTATGCCTTTCTTCCAAGCCACCAGGATGGGAGGCTGGGCTTTCTGTGTGGTGTAGGCTCCCCCAGACGTACAAGCAATGTCAATCTTTCAGCACTGGCCACAGCTAGTGCGAGTTGAAATGCTCCAAAATAATTTGAAACCTGTGGTTTGAAAAATTATGCTGGCTATTTATTAAAACAGCAAGCATGATCAGACCAAGCCAATTCGCTGGTTTAACAGATGGAAGCTTGTTAAAAAATCTTTATTCAATATGTTAAGAAGCCAGTTTTGCTATAAATTGTGAAGTATGACTTGTGAGTCAAGCCCCAGTGGAATGGATGCCTCATACTTTGAAAGTCTCAGCTTTATATTTAAGACCCAACATTTGCTACTTTATGTTTTGATTCAGGGATTTTTTTTTTAGAAGTAAACTACTCCCATCATTTAATAATATTAATAAAATAATGTATTTTATTTTAGGATAGTCTGGTACTTTACATTTTATCAGTCAAGGACAGTATGATGATTATTATTATTTCTTCTATTTATTAAATTCTGGTCTACCATCTTTACTACCCAGATAACACTGTTCTTTTATACCTGAAGTAGAGAGTTTTAAGACATTTCCCAAGGTCACACTGTGTACATGACTAGCAGAGAAATAATGTTGTCATACTATATGCAGGAGTTCCTTTCTGTGGTGTCTCAGCAGGGGGTTAATAGGGGAAAAAACCCACAGAAAATTCACTTAATTGTGGGAAATATATGGGAAAAAAGAGTTAAGAGCTGAAAGAGGGAGCTGCTGCAAATCTACATACTCAGTTTCCCAATGGATGCAGCACAGTGTCTGGTGCCCTTGCTCACAGGCTTTCCTGGCCAGCCCTGCAGCCTTAAGGTATTACTGACACAGGTAACAGGTAGCAGGTTTCTGACCTAAGGGAATCCCTCTCAGGTAACTCACACTCCTGATCACATACCTTCTTTGCCATTTAAATATTCAGCATTCTCTAATTAAATTTGTATAAGCTATAACTATCATAAGGCTTTCCTCTGTTGTACTTTCTTAAAATGAAAAGAGAGTAAGTAGCACTCAGGCACCTATGACTGCATCATACATGAATACAAAAGCTTAAAATAAAAAGCTTGTGTACATTTATGACCAAATTAACTTTCAACCAGAAAACCTAAAAAGTGCACTTTGCGCTTGGGTTTCACTCCCATAACTCCAGTTTTGAGCTGAGATTAATGAAGTTACCTTTCAGTGAAACAAGTGAAAGAGACAAGAATGGCTGTAATACATGAGGCTGCTCCCAGTGAAGCCCCACTACTTAACTTCCAAGAAATAATGTCAGTGTAAATCATGATGTGATGAATGCTTCACTGAAATGATTCATGCCATATGGTCTGAAGAGCAAAATGGGCACAGTTTATTTTTAAAAGAATTAGAAATATGAACTTGGAATATTCATTGCTTTGTCCTGCCAGGCTGAACATTTGCTGTAGCAGGGGCCAGGCTTACTGCAGGTCTGTCTTTTTTTGCTCACTTGATATGTTGCACTAGTTTGTGGCTTCAATCTCATTCATAATGGAATAATGTCTACAAAATTATTACCAACACTCTACAGCCTCTTCTGCAAACAAATGTTCACTGGGCACCTAAAGGCTAAATCATCTTATCACCTTCCCTTTTTAAAAAAACCCAAAAAACTAACAACAGAAATTTCAGATGTAATTAGTCCTTACAGTATAATTACTATCTCAGTAGCAAGAAGACAATTAATCTGAGTCCCCTGACAGAGGTGAAAGTTGCTGGCAATTCCACATGTCACTCAGCTTTCCTTTTTGTAAAGCTGCTTATGTTCAATGTCTTTCTTTCTGTATTGTTGTGTATTAATATATTCCATGTGAGACTCCACTTAAGCAAAAAGAAATCTAGGTTCTTTAATAGTCATAATCCTTCTCTTGCAATGCACCACTAGGAAAAAAAGAGAAGCAAATTATTCATATTTATTTAGTGATGCTGAAAGATGCAAGCACATGTCACTGAAATATTTAGGCCCCACACCGATCTCAAAGGTAAATGACAAAACTCAGTATCTTCAGCTGTGTGCAATTAAGTCTGTAACCTTACAGAGCAAGACTGCCTTATTCGTTTTATTTCACCTCAAGGACGGTGCAAAGCCACCATCTTCTTAGACAAGCACTGGAAAAAGGGTACGAGTGGGTATATTGCAGTCATTGTGCAAGGTGTCAATGGCTGCCAGGTTCTGCCCTCTCCCACTCCTGTGCAGAGAGATGTGCTACAAGAAAGTAATTTCAGAGCAGTCCATTTTCCAGGAACTGAACTTTGTATTCTGCAGAATTTATTACTCTAGATAGTTTCTTGAGAGAATTCATTCTGGACCAAAAACTTTGATGTCACTGCTTCAGGTGGCTTGATTTGGTCTGGAAGATGCTAGAAGGATGATTTCTAAATCAAGTATTTATGATGTAATGTCAACTTCAATTTCAGCAAGATAGCCAGTGAATGGATGGGCAAGATCCTTGTACCTAGTGGGAATTTGTTCAGGTTCGGTGATGTTGATATCACATCATTCACATTGCAAATACTTCATTTGCAAGACTGATGTAATTAAAATATATTGATCAATGTCAACTTGCAGTCTGATTCCACAGTGATGTAATGAGATTCATAGTGCCTGGAGTGGCTACTTCTAAATCATCCTTAAAGGTAAGAACAAGCTTATGGAAGGATTAAAAGCAATTGAACATTACACTTGTTTGAATGACAGCAAGTCTGAAGAACAGAACCTATTTTTTAAAAATAGGTTAAAATAATGATTAGCACCCTTTTACACATGGAAGCTGAACAGACATTCTGGACTAAGCTAAGCTGAAAAAATATCTGTGTAAAGCTATTTCATTGTAACAAGTAAACCCATTATTGATGTATTTTAAACTTAATATAAGCTTCTTATATCAACTTAAGTATGCACAGAATGCTGTTTTCTCTCAATCATTTTTAAACTGTGCACATACAGTACAACATTGCACGTAGGCGAGCTTGGATTAGAAGAAAGCATTTATCATACAGTGCATTCAACTCCTTCTCCACTCCTATGATCCCCTCTAGTGGTCAATTAATTGTCTGCTAAATGTTTCTTAGTACTACAAATTACTTGTACCTCTCCTGCATTAAAACGGTGTCTGGCTCCATTCTGTTTGAATTCAAGAGACCTCATTTTTTATTCCTATGCTGCATATGAGAAGGACAAAGCAATGAATCTTTTGAAATGTGCAGCTGGTGCATCTGTGGGCAGCTTTATTTTCCCCTCTAGGAGCGGGCGGATTGTGCCCAGCACATAAAGCCAAAGCCATGGCTGTTGGCAGGGCAGGGCAGGAGGTGATGGCTCTGCTGCAGCAGTCAGCACCAGCCCATCCTCGCCATTCGGGCTGAGAATGCCCACTGCAAGCCTGGCAGCAGGAACGCTTCTCCAGCGGCTTTGATCAGCCTAACAATTGTCACATTCAAACAAGTAAATGCTTGAGGTTTACCCACCTCAATGGAAAACGGAGTAGTGCATTTTATGTTTGTTTTTTTTTTATAGCAAGATTACACGCAGCTTGTAACTGTAGAGATTTCATACAGAATTGGCAGAAGACCTTTCCCCAAAATTCCCATCTTCACCTTGCAGTGCAGACAGACGCAGCTGCCATTTTGTATCAGTTCAAGTTGATTCAAGTCAGTGCTGACCCACTGCTGTCTTCATTTCCTAATCTTAGCTGTGCACCTCCATTTCTTCCTTATGCTAGCACCAAGACTTACCTGACTGCTGAGGGAGATGCCTAACTGGCAGTCCAGAGAAAACGAAATTGTGACCAAAACTGCAAAGCTCTAGGGCACTGGTGTCCAGCTAAAGTCACATAGGCTTTCTGTAGGAAAGTAATGGCTGTGGAGTGCCGAGATCGCTTGTTTCGGTGCTTTCACTTGTGCGCTTGTGGTTTTATGTTTGTGTTTGTAAATTGCAAAGGGCGTGGGGCAAAGGCAGAGTTCACGCTCATGAGCATAGATGTTTACAAATCGTGTTTTAGCCAGCGTTTTCATTATTCCTTTTCCCTTCCCCACAGATGGGAAACATGGGAACGGACACGGGGAAAGCTGTGGCCTGCATGAAGGGTAACACTATGAGAGGAGCATAAGTATATAATCACACACATAACATCATCTTTCAGTTGTGGGTGTCAAGACACAGTTTGGGAAATTCAAACTTGTTCTCCCTGTCCAGGACATCTCTAGTATACAGAAAAGCTACGATTTTTCAAGAACACCCTGTGGAATTTAAATAGTGACTGATTCACTTGTTTTGCTCTCACAGATACATATATATTCTGTATTTCTCCGGGCGGCTGGTACCCAGCGGAGCGGAGTAGGCGACTGTAGGGGCAGGGGTTTGGGGCCAGGTCGGGAGCGCAGCCGTAGGGCCAGGAGACGAGCCCCGCTGGGGAAGGGTGAGGGAGCCCGGGCTCTCCCCAGCACGGGAGAAAGGCAGAGCCGGCCCGCATGGAAGGATCACCCCTGGCCACAGCCGGGGGCTGGCCCCTCGCGGCTCCGCGGCCCCTCGGAGCGGGGACGGCGCCGAGGGAGGGGCGGAGGCCGCCCGGGGCCGCCCCCGGCCGGGGCTGCGCTGCGGCGGCAGCGGAACGCGGCGGCGGGCGCGCGTTGCGGAGGGCCGGTTTGAGGCGGGCACCGCGCGGCGCGGCGCCGGCATGAGGGAGCTGCCGCCGGGCCCGGCGATGGAGAGCGACATTTTGGACGCGCTGGAGGCCTTGGGGTAACCGGAGAGCAGCGGCGTCTCACCCTGCGAGGGGCGAGGGGCCGCGGGCGAGAGGCCGGGCCGGAGGCGGGAGCCAGGGGGAGCGCGGGACCGGCAGAGGAGCGGGCCCCGCGTTGTGGCGGGTGCCGGGGGCTCGGCGGGGCCGGGCCTGGGCCGGGAGCGGGGTCACGGCGTGGGCAGTGGGCTCTCCGGCTGTAGTGCCAGGAGGACAGAGGAGGCCGGGCGCTCCGAGGGTGCAGCGGCCGTGGTTGGCGCTGGGGCGGCCGCTGTACGCCGGCGGGGCAGCACCGCGTTCTTCGGTGCCTGCCCACCTCCCGCGATGTGCTTCCCATGGTACGGGACAAAATCTGTGCGAAATTTAATTTTCAGTTATGTTATTCTCAGTACTCCAGGGCAGTTAGTTGTTACTGTTAGGAAGAAATTTCACGAAACAATACTTGAGTTCTTCTCTGTCAGGCGTGTTCTGAGATCAAAGTCTGTTTTCACGTACACATGTGAAAATACTTGCCTCATATTTTCTGACAAACTGTTTTGCTTATAAATGACCAAATTTTTTGGTGTGGTTGAAGAAAAACATCTGAATTATTCATTGACAAAAGTAATGTAGAAAGATTAATTCCTTTAAGTATAGTTACTAACCAGCTTAGAGAAAGATAATTTGAAAATATGTATATTTTATGTTACACTTACTTCTTATTCCTAATGTTTATCTGTCTGTGCAGGTACACGGGTGCCCTGTTGGAGGAGGATGCCCTGAAGAAAGCAGCAGAAAATGGATTGTCTTCACCAGAATTTTTTGAGCTTTGCATTTGGTTAGGTTCCCAGATAAAGTCACTTTGTAATATGGAAGAAAGCATCACTGCAACAGATGGTATATGAATGTTAATTTAGTATTTGTTCAGTGGGTTTAGACCCTTATTGTTCAGCTAATAGTAAAATTACAGTGTTGAAGTTTACAAGAAAGCTGAAAGGTAGCCAAATTCAGGCTGATATTTGTGTGCTCTTAGATTAAGGTCTTGTGTTGTGAAGACTGTTTGAAAATGGAGAAGGCAGGTGATTTAGGGTGGTTTAAGATATACATAAATGTAAAAGGTATATTCATGCCTGTAATCATGTTTTGATAGTGTAAATTGCAGTGCTGGATGTTTTCTGGCTGTTGGTCTAGTTGGTCCCATGTTCCAGTCAGCACAGTGTGTGGATATGTGAGGTGCTCAGTAGCACTGCCTGATTATTCCTGCCTAGTTCTGAAGTTTTGGATGAGATTTTATATTACTTATGTTTTTACCAAAGAAGTAATGGAACTAAAACCAATCACTGAAAATAATGGGTTCATGACTTTTGTTACTCCTTCATCAGAAAATTAATTACATTGACATGCTATTCAGTGACGTAAACTGTTCACTTCCTTCTGGTGTTCATGTTCATGTCTTCACAGACTGCTGTAGCATTACCTCATTCAAAGCATGAGTACGAGATACTATTAGAAGGCGTGTCTGCTTGTATGTAGGACTTTTTAAAGAAAAATGTTACTGGGGTGGTAGGTGGTTAATCTTTGGGCTGTTGAAATCTGCAGTGTAAGTGTACGTTAAAAAAATGAGATTGCAGTTCAGTGTTTCTGTAAAAAGCCATTAATTGTGCATTGATTTCCATAGGTGTGAAAGATATAGAGAGCTTCCAGCTTGAAATTAGTGGCTTTCTGAGAGAAATGTCTTGTCCGTATTCCTCACTGGTGTCTGGAGACATCAAAGACAGATTAAGAGAGAAAGAAGATTGTCTTAAACTCCTGTGTGAGTAAGAATAATTTTTCCCATTTTTGATATAGTATTTTATGTGCATGCCTACTTTATCACAACTGTACAATTTACGCTGAAGCGTTCTTTATGTGTTTTTAGTTGATGTGTACAGTCATTGTATACGGGCTCAGCATGTATTAACTCACTTGTGCAAAGTGAAAAATAGAGCAGCATTAGAAAGCTGTTTTAGCAGTAACTAAAATTTATTTTGAAAGTACAGTGCAACTTGCTGAGGCGTTCTGATCCCTCTCTTGATCCAGTTGTTTCAGCTCACCTAAACTGAGACCTTGCTTCCTTGTGTTTGTGAGAGATTTCAGGGCAGCTTGAACAGAAATGCACAGTTTGAAGGTGCTGAAAGCAGAATTGAGAGAAACAACATCTAAGTTTAAGTTGGACTTGGACAAAGGACTGGCAGCAGGAACCAGTGTGGTAATATAAAACTAGCCAAGGAGTTTGGGGTCTGGTGGCAGAAGAGAGTTGAACAGTTAAATGCAATGTGTAGACTGAAGGTAGGAAGTCAGGTGAGAGGCAATTGAGGTAAAGAATACTCATACTGACTTGTTCTGGAGAGAGCTGAAAAAGTCTCCCTTTTATAATGATTATTCTTAAAAATGTATATATTTTAGCTGTACTGAGAATGTGGATGCAGAAATACTTAAGGGTCTCTAAATTTGCCATTATGATGCTTTTCTCTCTAGTATTTCTAAGTACAGAACTTCAGGCTTTAAAGATACTGCAGAGCAAGAAAATGAAAGGCTCTCGTTCGGAAAAGCACAATGAAATTATTCAGGAAGCGCAAGCTATTTGCGATGCACTGGGTCTGCCAAACTCCTCATCTTCTGGTATTCCTCCCTTGTTAGCCAGTGTGGAACAAAAGGTATGGACTTTTACATCTTTCCTGTAAACTGTAAGCACTATCTTTGTAAGCATTCATCGTGGAGTTAAGAGCCCAGCAATCTCACCCGTAAAAGCCCTATCTGACAAGTGCCACAGAATTTTAATTCTGAAAGCCAGCATAGTATTTTAAGTTAAACTGTTTTAGTTACGAGGTGAAGTATTTCAGCATTTCCCTGAGGTTGCAATGTACCTCATCAGACATACTTTACCATGCAAGGTTAAGGTATAAAGTTTTCCTCTTACCCGTTCAAATGTGCAAGCAGAAAACTTCGGGTAATAACTGACTGTGCATTTATATACCTGTAGTCATTTCTGGGATGTATTTAAATTTAATATCCAAAACTTAAATTAGTTCTTTTTAGTTTAATTATTTCTTGATTGTAAGTATGGATTTGTTGGTGGTATTGCCTTAGCTGCAGAAGACGATGAAAATGCCTGAATTCCCAGTATTCAGTGAATAAGCCAACTTAAACCTTAGTCAGCAAGTTAGTTCTTCCCATTGTGTCCCTCCAAGTTCTAACTCATTTCACTGATGTCATCCTTGATCTGATTTCCTTACTTCAAAATGTAAGTAGGCTCTTGAGGTGGAATTTATCTTCTGTGTCAGACAACTAGAAGTTTTGCTCTTCATCTGTCTCTAGTGTTTGGGGAGAGAATGACTGATCTCCCCCTTAAGGGTAGAATAAAAACTCTCTCTGCTTCTGAGTCTTTGAATTTAATAATTTTACATGATTGTGCTTGTTTTTTTCCTTCCTCATCAACCAGTGGACAGTTGAACATTCAGAGATTTTGGGGAGAGGGCCTGTTACTTGCATGATTTTCTTACATCTTCAGTGTGACAAGACAAAACCTTTAATAGGTTAATTTATAAAAGGCATCACCCAGGTGCAAATGGTACTGCCTATTCCTACACTATAACTATGCTTGATGTATTTAGTTACAAGGAAATCTTTGCATTCGGTAAATATTTTTGAAGGGATGAAGAAACAATTCTAGCACTGTTCTGGGAATGAAAATGTCAGAGTTAGAGTTGCTAACTAATGGCCTGATTCTGCTGGTCTCCCTCTGAGGGTGTTAGCTGTGGTGTGTTTATAGGCTGCAGCCATGGCCAGTGGCCTTCCTTGCTCAATTCCTTGCTTCACTTCTCAGGTACAGTTTTAGTTTCATCCCATTATAGGGAGAGGGCTCCAGTTCTGCAGCTGTGGGACAGCAAGACCAGACCTGGAGCACCACTTCCTTCATACACAGATAGTGATACTAGAATGTTTGCTTTGAATTATTAGGCACCTGGTATTTGCCACCTTTTGCAAAGTCCAACATTTCCTGTCGGCATTACAGGCTTGAATTGTGCATAGTGTTGCCATCTCAGTTTGTATAAACTGTTACACTTTCAGAAATACTAAAATGAGCAGAATCTTAAAAGCGTTTATCTTTGGTTTTAGTTGGGTTTTTTTTTTTAAATAGTGCCTGGACTATTTTCCAGTAGTTTTCAGGTCTGTCAGTTCCACAGTGGTTATACCACTTGTGCTCACTTCAGAGTGTAGAAAGGTGGCAAAACTAGTTAGTTCATCTTCTGTGAGTCCAAATTAATAGTGTAATTTGTTCTCTGTGTGTTTTATCCCTTATAAACAAAGGACTTTTTCTTACCTCGCAGGAGATTTTGTAGAATTCCTGCTATGTGTTTACTTGTCCTTCATCCATCACTTTAGTATAGGACAAACTTGGAGTTATTTTGATAGGTGACAGAGTTAGAGACCTACACTTACAGGTATAGCTGCTTTAGAAAGGTGTTGCTACTAATTAAAGTTCATTGGCTTTGTAAACATTTTTTTTAAGAGCACTATTTTGCTACTTTTTTTTAATATGCTCACAGAAATTAACTTGAAATTATCCATTTATTTTTCCAAATATTTTTTGGCTTTTGATTTAATTAGATTCTGCATAAAATTGCACTGTTGATGTTTAGGATTATATCATTCATAGTACAGACGTAATTAGTGATCTAGTGTTTTTATTTAGTGTATCTGCAAATGTGTCTGTGGCATTTCAACATGTCTACTCTTTGTCTCTGTCTAGCATCTTCAGCATTGTCAGTAGCTGTGGGAGTAGTTCTGAGAATAGTTTGGCTGTGCAGCAGCAACCTACCAAAGGCCAGATCACACACTGTATTTTGGTATGGAATATTAGAACATTTATTGTTTTAAGTGATTTTCCAGTTTATTTAAGAGACTAGTATAAAATCAGAATTGCTTTCTTCATTCAAAAAGAGTTTTATAGTAGCTCAAACTTTGAATGTACAATCATAGCAAATATCTTTTGCATCTCCTGTAATTACCTAGGGTACTGATTATCAATATACCTAAGAAAAGGAGAGATAAATAGTATTACAGCCTTCTACAACTAAGTATATCTTATTATATAGAACTGAAAAACTGATAGTAATTTTTCAATTGTTTAAGATGCTGTTCCCTTGTAAAGTATATTTACAAAGGGGGAATCTAGGAGTCAGTCTGAAATTTAGTGCCAAAACCTCCATAAGTTCTAAATGAACATTGATGAAAGGTTCAGAAAAGTTCATGCCAGTGTTGATCTTTGTAACTAGTGCTTACATCTGGCTGTTTTCCAATCAAGATAGTGTGAATTTCACACCTAATTACAAAGTGATATTCTAATACTGTTTATTTGAAAAAACTTGTAATATGATATTATTCAAAAGACTTCTGAACTGTTTCTGCCCACATTTTTAAAAGTACTCTGCTACTTTTCACATATCAGTAGAATGGAAAGAAACTACAAAGGGCTACTGAGCAAACTAAGTCAAAATGAGGCTAACATAACATTTAAGTGAAATGTGAGAAGAATATCTTTTAAAATATTTGGGTATAGATTCTAGAATTTATTAATATTTAAATTAATGTGTTTTGTTTAACTGTTGATCTGTAGTAATTTTGCAGATGTAATGGTGCCTGGACAGTAAATATTGATGTAACTGCAGGGAACAAGACCGAAGAGTTGTCCTGTTCATCAGACATCAGGATCAAACAAAAATGTATTTAGAGTTAGATAAACAGTGAATTTATCTGCAGGTATATGAAAGAGAGGCTTAAAAATATTTTATGCTTTGTATTTTAGGTGATCTCTCTGCAACTGTACAGTACCCTTATGACTAATTAAGGGAACCTTCTTTCATCAAAGTGTTGCTATTTTAAATTAATAACATAACACCTTTCTGCAGGTCAGGTTTTTTCAAAATCTCAAAAAACCCTGGAGGTGCATACATATATGATGTGTAAAATGTGTTAAATATAAAAATAACTGCTCTGTTTTGACAGAAGATGAGGGTATTTAATAAAAACATTGAATATGGTAATGAAATGTGAGCTAATTTTTTTTTTTCAGTAATACAAAATTACAAAACAAATGAGAAATGTCATGTTCAATAAAGATACACTTTATTTGGTAACAGTAGAATAACTGTTTATTTTTATGCAGATTTGAATTTGATATTTTTGTCTCAAGGAGATCCAACAGCTGATTTGTTTGCATTTTATATTTAGAGAGTGTGTGAACTCCCAAACCAATCCCATAAATTTCTAGTGTCACCAGGATCATTGATTACACAGTATGTCAAATAGTCAAATATAGTTGTCTACATCTAGTTTTACTTATTTGGTCAGCTTTTTACACCTGAATGTGTAAAAACATTAGGATGATTTGCCTATTAAAATTTGTTTTATGTTTCTTTGAGTATGTTTTCACTGCTCTTTTATCTGGGCACTGCATTTGATTTTGTTCCCACTTACATGTGCAGACTTCTTTCTGGGTTGTGGTGGGATTTTTTAAACTCCTGCATATCCTTCTCAAACCCAGGACAACTGTCATGTGGGGGAATATGAGTTACAGCATAGATTCTCACATCCATAGTATTCTTGTCCTCTGGCAGACTGCTGTATGTCAGAGTTCCTGTGCTCATACCTCTGTCATCATTCATGGCTGGACAATGTATTCTGCAGCTGTAAGGCAGCTCAGTTTATTTCACCATTGTAGCTGTAGGATTTCCCCTTGCGCCCTGCTGGTGGGCGTGAGGACTAAGTGGAGATTCACTAATCTGAGTGTGTCTTTATAGTGTATCAAAAACATAGACCAGTTCATCAGTAGAGAGATGCCTCCTTAACTGTTACTGATTAGTAAACCTGTGCTGGACAAAAATTACGTAGGTATTCTCTTTAACTTGGAAAGAAAACGTAGAAAGTTGGGGGAAGTCAGTAAAGGATTGTTTCATTTAGCTGCTCTTGTTCCTTCTAGTTCTGATTTTCATTGGTTATCTTCCTTAATTGTTCTCTAAATTTCCTTTCAATTTCATTTCATGGAAATCAGCGGTGATTGACTTGTGATGGCAGAACGTGTGGCTTTTGTATGTGGAGCCCAGCGTTGCATTTACCTCTTAGTTGTCCTAAGTTTACAGCAGCAAACTTAAAACAATTCTAATCTCTAGGTAGTATTCAGCATCACTGATTTTCAGGTCTTCTTTCACGCTCTAACTGTAAATTACACTGAAGATTTTTCATTTTGTTGTATTGGTTTTTGTTTCAGCAGGTAGTCTCATTTTGATAGACTAGTCCTTTCCACCTTTGAGGTAATATTTGTGACCTCAGTGCTATATAAACAGACACCTCTTGCTCTATAGAATTTTTAATTCGTCTGCTGTTCATTCCTTCTTCTTATTCTTAATTACTGATCTATTCATCTCCTGCTGTCATACTGGTCTTTTTCTACTCCTGGTTATTAACGTTAGATTTTGATTCTTCAGACATTTATTTAAATTATAACATAGTTTGTGCCTAGGTACATTTGCATTTTGGAATGGAATATGGCACCATGTACCTGCTTCAGTAAAAAAAAAACTGGCTACATTCAGAAGACAGACAAACTTGGAGTGCTTTTTGTGAAGAAAAAGATTATAGAGAAGCAAGAATTATAAGAGAAAGAAGAGTGTTGGGATCAGTATAGTACATGGAACAAAACATCACCCCTTATTGTAACCTCTTTTGATATGAATGGATATAATAACAGGGAGTATTGAATAATTAGATTGCCACTTTTCAGATACTACTAGGCTGTCTTTTCTGATAGAGTCAAAACAGTGTTTTCCCTTAATTTGATCACTGCACAATATATTTACCTCAGACTTTTTCTAGGATATTGTGTTTTTAACCTGCCAGAGTGTTGCCCAGCAGTAATGTAAAAAGAAAGAACAAAATACATACACCTTGGTTTTCACACAAAATTTGAGATCAGATTTTTTCTTCATCTATGCAAAAAAAAAAAAAAGGTAATTACAAAAATCATGACATATGAGAGTTGATTTTCTAAGTATTTCTTTTAACAACTAACAGGTTGTTAACAACTAGGTGCTCTAGAATTCGATTTTTGACTTCTGGAATTTTTTTTCAAAGCAGTCAATAGAGATGATATTTCTGTAACATGTGAAGGTCAGAACTGAACTTTGAACCATGCCTTTATGACAAATGTAGGGTAAATGCCTGTGTGCCCATATGAAGTCTTATAATCTTTGCAAATGTATCTCATGGCTATCCCCAGTTACAGGTTTTATTGTAGGTCATGCACTACCTTAATGCTTCCTTTGACATATAAAAGAAAATTAACTCTAGTTTTACTCATTTTGCTTGGTTCCCCATTTGCTTTAGTAAATAGCCATGAAGATGTACTTCTCTCCATCAGACTGTTAGAAAACTTGCAGGAACAATAATATGCATGCAGTCAACTCCAGCTGAAAAATCAGCTGGAAAATGTTCAAGTTATGTGCAAGTCTTGTGGGCATTCATGGTAATGATTTTTAGAAGAGCTTTGCCGAAGGAAGTTCACTCCAGAAGAGGAGGTAGAGGTTTCTTGTAATGAGAGAAGAGAATGCAGTGGTGTTTGGAAGGTAAGAGAGGGCCGATTCTTGAGGGCAAGAACTAGTGGAAGAAGTATAAGCAAATTTGATTTGGAGTGAATGCAAAAGTTAAACATAATGTTAGCTGAAACCAGTTATAGGAGTAGAATAAAATTGATGAGAAAGAATGAGTGTTTACCTATCATATCTCCTGCCTTTCTTAATAGCACCCATCACCAGATTGTTTTGTAGCCCAGTGTAACATTTGGCAACAGAACTCCGAATTTCTAATTGTTATAGTTACAACACTTAGTAGTATCTAAAACGAGTAATTTAGCTAGTCTTACTTTCTGTATGCACTTGATAAATTTGCTATATAACTATTGTTGTCTTAATGGGGAAGTGATGTGCCATAAAATATTTTTGTATGGAGGCTGGTCATCTCATGAAAGTATTAAGGAAATCTTTTTATAGTGGGTCATAACCAGAAGATTCGTATCTGTTTTCACGAGTCTGCTGAAACAAGCGCGCTGTGTTTGATCTTCTGAGTAGCAAAATGAGATTGTAACAAATTTTGCTGAAATAAATCCAAATATCATTTGTGTTCTGAGATATATGTGTTTTTTTCAGATAAAGGACATCCTCTCAAAAGTTAAAAATAACCATGTGGGGAAGTCACTGCTAACAAAACCTCTGAACTCTGACCAAGTGGTAAAGAAAAGTTTCTCAATTTCTTTTCAGTATTTAACAGGATGGTCAAAATAAATGCATATGGTTTCATTTAACTTTGCCTTTTTATAGTCACTGTTCTATTGCTGAATATTAATACTGAAATTCGGTTGCTAAATACTAATGGTGATAATCATATACTTCCAGAATTGACATTATAAAACAGACCTTGTGTTGATTTATCCATTGTTCACTTTCAAATCATTTTGTATATACAGACTACTGTAGCATTACATAAATGCTGTGTAGTTGAAAGTGATTCACCTCAGGATAGACATATTAATTGATGGATGGGGTTAACTTTGAATTGACTTCTCTATATATTTGACAGTTTGAATTTCTTATTGTAACACTGCAGGAAAGATTGGAAAAAATCAATGATGCTCTTTGCAGTGAGTACGAGTGTCGACGGCGGATGCTGATGAAGAGGCTCGATGTGACTGTGCAGTCTTTTGGCTGGTCTGACAGAGCAAAGGTAAACTTGGTGTACTTCTTGCTTCCTGTAGGTGGGAGTCTGCTACTGTTCCCCAAGTCTTCCTACAGAATATGCATATCATGTAAATACACAAATACACTTCCATCACTGTTACCTTTTTTCCAGCCTATTTCTCATCTCAAGCTGTAATATCCAAATCTTAAGTATTGAGGAAGAGGATGGATTTAACCAGTCCATGGCACAGTCCATCCTTGGTGACTGTTTATAGCTTCACAATTAGAAATTATAGCATCCTTTGTTGGGATTTCTCATTTTAATTAAAGTTTCCATCTCCCTGTTTTCTTTTCTGTATCTAACACCCTCCAATGAAGTAAACTAGGTAGGAATCTCAGCACTTCTCATTCAGGTGCAGAAGTAAGACAAATACTGGGCCTTAACATAGATTGGGTATAAAAAGTGACTCATAAAGTCTGAGACGTTACAGGGACTGCCCTCTATCTTGGATTCAGTGCTACTAGATGAACAGCTGTTCAGTTGAACAGGTTATTTGAATAGTAGCTTGTGTGAGAAAATCATATAATTGCTTGTAATCCTTCAGGTCACTAAAAATTCCAAAGCACTCCACTGTATTTGTTCTGCTGGTATTTTTTAATTGTGATAATTTCATTTGTACTATTTCCTAGAACTCTGAATATTAAAAAATAGTCATGATGTTTCCGAGCTGGAAATAGATCTTGTTTGTAAACAAAAGAGTAGGGAGATGAGACACACAAAGTTTGTAATTTGATGAAGACATGTGAGAAGCTGGAGGCAGATGTTTTTGTTCATGAGTGGCAAGATCACTGTTCTTCCAAAGTTTTCTTTAGAAAGCTTAAGATGGATAAATCTTAAAACTTGGAAAGCTTACTGAAAGTATGGTTACAAGTCTTTGTGACGTCACAATTTGTCATTGACACATGCAGAATCAAGTTTATGAAGTTCACTAAGTATCACTGGAAGACATGACTCTAGGTGCTGCTGTGCTGTATTGGAATAGCTCTGTTTAATTTCTGAAGTGGTTGTGAATGCTTTTATGCTGGAAGAAAGGAAAAGGGGGGCATTTAGCTCAGAGGAGCCGGGAGATGTCCCTACTTGTATAACTTCCTTAGAGCTGTACCAATACAACTATGTATCTTCAAATTTAAAGTATACTTCTAAACTATAGTTGATGTGACTGATGACTAACTTAAGCAGACTAAAACTTTGTCACTTGCTATTGTTCCATTCAATGTGAAAAACAATGAATGCCCTTTTGAAATAGAACAAAAGTTTAAAGAGATTTTTGATGATAAAGTAGTCAGATGATTCATTTTCCTGTCTTATAAAGACTGTTGATGTGAAATATATGCAGATACAGAAATAACCAGGTTATATACTACTTCAAAATTACATACTGTTTTCAATCTTTTTTTCCCCCCCTATTTCTCTTGAAGGATGTCCATAACTTCTTTGAAAAAGTTTTGGGGTTTGAAAATGTTCTGGCATTGATGTAATTTAGAGATTTTTTTTTTTAAGCCAAGACACAAATTGTTGTCTTTTTAAAATCTGTTAGCTTGCCTTTTTTTCCTCACCATTGAAGTTATGATACGTTTCTCTGCTTTTGATGGCGTGGCATTTTGGGGATTTTTTTTTTTAATTTTTGTAACTTGTTCGGTATCCAAAAGGGGTAAGTTTGCAGACTGAAATGGGTTCACAAATGATGGAGTAATTACCTAGTAAAACAGTATTGTACAGGTTCAGCATGTATTGTCTGGTCTAGCCAATATCAAATGTTTTATTTCACTCCAAAAGTCATTCTAGATTTTCCCAGAAAGCATATTTCTTTTTCTTTCCTGCTAAATAAATGAAACATCAAAGCATGCTTGGAAAAAAATCTAATGTTGTCTCCTTTTCATGGCTTGCATGAATGTTTTGCTGCATTGATACATTTTCAGGTTTTTTCCACGAATTTACCTTACTTTGAAGCTGCTCTGTTTTTGTCATGTTTAGAAGCGATCTGTTGAGTATGGTTGTGTAAAGCTCTTGAGAGAGCTGTATGGACTCTTTAAGTTTTAATCTGTAGACATGTTGGAAGACATTAAAGCATCTGTTTGATGCCAGTGGATAGAGGAGTTTCTTTTGTACTGGTGCTAAGTTTCAGCATCAATTAAACATAATCAGCAGCACTTTCTCTGTAATAGCTCCATCAACAGGAAGAGAGCTGGTGATAACTGGCACTATGTTTTGTAATACAGTTTGTATTTTCAGAAGCTAGACCTTGTGTTCAAAGTGAAACTTACGGAGACCAGCACATAGTTTATAGAAGTCTGTTGGCATGTTTGATACCTGGCAAGTAAGTTGTGTTTGATGTTATCCTTTAGGTAAAAACAGATGAAATAGCACGGATCTATCAGCCCAAGCGCTATGCCTTGTCTCCAAAGTCCACCATTACATTAGCTCACCTTCTTGCTGCTCGTGAGGATTTGTCCAAGATCATAAGAACAAGTAGTGGATCAACACGGGAGAAGACTGCCTGTGCTATCAACAAGGTATGCTTCTCTGGCATGTGATAAATGGACATGGGGATTTACAGACCTATGGAAAGGAATTCTAGTATTACACTGGTTTTGCTTGGTACTTTATTTTTTCCATTTAAGAAAGGAAGGTGTGCAGTATTCCAGTAAACATTGCAGAAAGTCCTTTTTTTATCTTCCTAGACAGTCAGTCATGCAGCAGGATGAAACAGAGTAATGTAGGATGAGAGGGAGCAATGTGGGGGGCTGTACATGTGTGTAAACAACCTCTTGAGTTCAGTGGAACTGCACAGCTCAATGATACATATCAGTGTTTGTGGTATCAGTTCCTGGGCTACCTTGCCAGGATATTATTGTTTGATTTGTAAACTCACATCTCTAGTTCATTAGTGTGTTATAAATCATGAAAGTTTCTGTAGAAATGTCATTTTGCTGCAAAGTAAAATTATCTAGTTTGGCTGCAGTAATGAATCAACATTGCTGCTTTCTTGTGTGTGATAAAAGCTGAAGCTTGCGAGTAGTGACTTGAGTTTTGCCATTCAAATGGTGATTAAGCCTGCTTTTATTGATCCTCTATTTACAGATTTTTCTAATTATTTTGCCTCATTTAGATAACCCTTTAATATGTTTTGATCCCTACCGCTCTGAAGTTTCTTAATTATTGTAGAATCTCAGACATCCTACAATAGTTTGTTTTTTTTTATTGAGAGGACTTTAGTTGGAGTGCTTGGGACTGATCAGGGAATGTTAACTTTGCTCACATAGAGTTTAGGAAGTATGAAAGCGACAACAAAAAGGCCTACTTGGATACATCCTTGTTCTTCAAAGATGTTTGTTTTGTTTAACTTTGTCCAGTGCAGTTTCTCTTTTCATACGCCGAGTAATACCTGCCATAGTCAAGATGCCTTTTTTTTCCTTTTCTTGGAAGTGTTACTGTAGCCTATTGCATATTTTGTTCATTGTGGCTCTTTACTGAGTGTCAGTAGTTTCTAATGTTGGGCAAACTGGTGTTCCTTTGAGAATTGCACATCAATTTGCCAGTGGTTTTTTTGTGGGCTGATTAGGTTTGAACTTGAACTTTAAGTAGAAGAGCCGCATCATAAGAAGTCTTTTCTATATGAATATATATGTGTATTTGTATATATTATATATGAAGTATGTCTGTTGCTTATTGCAATACTAATACTTCAGGTGTGCAGTGTTCTTCATAAAATTTTCACAAAAGTAATATGAGCCAGCTAGCTGCAGTTATTTCCACTTTAGATGTGAAAAATGAGAACACTTCTAGAGTTCCGTTGTGGTGTTCTGAGAACAAGAGATAGTGATTAAGTCAAGCACTGCACTGAGGGGCCAAATTTCCTGAAAACAGCAGGCAGCATTTCTCTATCCACAGGAGAAAATCCTGTCTCATCAAGTTATTAGTACTGTTTTTTAACTCTGAAAATGACCAATTTTTCTGTACAGGTTCTGATGGGCAGAGTCCCTGATCGTGGAGGCAGACCAACAGAGATTGAACCACCTCCTCCTGAAATGCCTCCATGGCAAAAAAGACAAGAAGGTGGTGGAAGAGGTGGCTGGGGTGGCGGTGGTGGTGGTGGACGGGGTAACTGGGGAGGTGGAGGAGGTAGAGGAGGAGGAGGTGGAGGTTTCAGAGGTGGTGGAAGAGGTGGGGGTGGCTTCCAGGGTGGAGGTGGCTTCCAGGGTGGAGGTGGCTTCCAGGGTGGGGGTGGCTTCCAGGGTGGCAGAGGAGGTTATGGTGGCAGGGGAGGCTATGGTGATCCATATGGTGGAAGAGGAGGGGGAGGATACCGAAGATACTAAATTACCATAAATCTTAACAGAGTAACTGGCAGAATATAGTGGTGGTGTTTACTGGTACTAGGAATTTAGGTTTGTTGACTTGGGTTTAGATTAGAATTAAGTATGACCATATGAGTCATTTCATTAGACCAACTGATGTTCTCCCTGAGTTCTTTTAGTTAACTGAACAGAAGTTTTATACTAAAATCTGATGACTAAAGTCCCTGTTTTTCGTACTGCTTATATGGTGTTTTTTATGATGTCAATTTATTTAAAATAAGTCTCAGAAAACTGAATAAAACCCTTTCTAAACAAACAAAAATATATTAATGGTCAGACTTCTCTAATTTATTGCATGTTGCATGTTTACACTCCTGCTCCAAAACGTTATGTAGAAAAAACCAAGTAGGCCTAAGAACTGTATGAAACCACTTTTAAAAACTCAAGAATGCTGCTTTCACGCTTGTTCTCTTCATCTCATTGTTCTTCATTCAGTTTTCATGTGGGACATGTAAATGACATTTTAATTTCAAATGTTAAAATCCTTAAGGCTTTGGTGAAAATTATTCAATTATATTCGATTATTCTTGCAGAACTTCACATTTTAGTAATACTGTGGATTAATACTCTACACAAATTAATCAGATCAGGTTGTTTTTTGTGTTCATAATGCATCAGACACTCTTTAATGGTCAGAGCATAATAATTATGAGCTCACTCATAATAGTGAGCTTTGATAGTGTCTTATTTTCATTTTACCTGTTTTCCACTGTTGGTGTTTCATAAAATAATTTTAAAATCCCATTGGGCAGAAAGCCTACAGGTATCATGTCTGGTATTGAATTAATGTGTATATCCTTATGTTTCAGCTTTGAGACAAAACTTTGAATAAGCTGAGCTTTTTAAGAAAGAATGTGACATTTCTTCTCGCCTTTTTTTCTTTCCCCTTGTTTTTTTAAATTATCTTCTTCTCCCCTGCCTCCTCTTTGTTTGGGAGTCACCAGCTGCCTGGTTAATAAGTTAACAAGACATTTCATGCAGCAGGTGCCTTTTCTATCTCTGCCAACCTAAAAGAAGCCCTGTCATGACATGGTATGGATGCCTTCTCCCTCACATACTCTGCTAGTCTAAAAGGAGTTAGCTGTCATACCATCATGGCTGTAAATATATGCAGACAGGAATTAAATTTAGAGCTGTCACTTAAAGAAATCAGTTATTGCTGCCCAATGTCTTTTAGATCTCCCATGTTGTGAGGCCACTCCTGAGAACAGAGGTGGAAAGGGGATGATGCCTGAGTGTGTTCTCATGCTAACATTTTTCAGGATCAGGTCACTACAGAGAGATTCAGGAAAGCATCTGATTAACCTGGTGTGTCTGATGATTAAATAGCACAGCAGACTTGAAGCACTTGTAATTGTAGGCATAACTGCAGGTTGAACTTCAGGATTTGGTTTTGGATTTATATTCCTCAGTTACAAGTTCTTTCTGCACAAATTTCCTATCGGTGTCCCTTGGTATGCTTTAAAGATGTTTATTTACCTTCATAAACATAGGTATCACGTCCTGTTTCATTGGCAACTTCATGCATGAATGTAAAGTTCTGTTCCAAATGAAATTACTGTCTTTGAAAAGTTTTTCTCCTGTTATTTCCTCTCTCATCAGTTTGCTTGAGAATGCTGCTTCTAATGTGATAGATAGGGCTTTACCCAGGCTTTAGGGTTGCAGCAGGTACCTGACAAAAAGAAGCAGAAATTTTGCTTGCTAGAACATGTTAGCTGAGATGTGAACTTTTGCAATAATGGCTTAATGGTACCCAACTGCTAGGACTGTAGTTCCTTTGCCGAATTTTTTCTATGCTTCTTACTGGCCTAAGCCCTTTGCAGCCTCTATAGTCTTTATGGAGAGACCCCTTATGGGTCACATGGGAGAACAGTACTGGTTGTCTTGATTCTGAGTTTGGTTTTTGCCTAATGCTCTGGAAAAGCTCCCAAACTGATGACATACCAAATGAGACTGCTGGCCTTGGAGCAAAGTGTTGGTCAGCAAAGGAATAGAAAGCAGTTTTATAACCACCAAAGCCTTAAGATTAAATTGTTTGCTACAAGTCATCAGCAGTCAAGCATGTGGCTTCATCAAGGAAATACACTCAGAAAAACAAACAAGTTACCTATGCTTAAAGGTTTCATTAGTCTTAGGATGCAAGGTTGCAGTGGTTTAGTTGGATTGTTGTAACTGCAGATGTGGATGTGCCTTGGTGTGTTTACATTCAGCAGTCCATCCTGTTTGTAGTAGGCAGGACAGTTCTGAATTAAGTAAATCATCAAGTGAAGCAGGTACATGCCCACTTCAATTCTAATAGTTAAATTATTTCAGTATCATATTTCAGTTATTTGTATGTAGACCTTGTAAAATACGAAAATACAAATAGTCTGGAGATTCTTTTTTAATCTGGCCATTTCAGTTTTTCTTAAGTAACTTCAAAATATGAAGCCAGTAGTTGAAAACTAAAGTAAGCACCACCAGACTTCATGGAGGTATCCTTTGTTGTCCTCTTGTCAGAAGGTATGCTTTTAATTTCTTTAATGATGCAATAACACCATGAAAGTAATTGATTTAAATCTCAAGTTTTGTTTTGAAAAAAAGTATTTTCAAAAATTCTGTTGTAAGTAAAAGATTTTCATATATATGTTTGTGAACATTTTTGTGTTAATTCGCACTTAGTGAATACCTAAATATTGTTTTGTTTGTTGAAGAACTGAAAAAAAAGGTTGGGGATTTTTTTTTCAGGAATCCAGAGAGACATTTTTGTCAACAGCTGTAAACACTGAGGAATAAAGTACTGTATTTGAAATTATTTGCATCATCTGTGTGTATTGTGATTTGGATCTACTATCCTATGTTCCTCCTTTGTTTGTAAGAAAGAATTCCTGATGGTGATTTACAACAGAAGCCTTGCTTAAACTTGGGTACTGTGCTGTGAAATCTTTTGAAAATTAGCATTCCTAACACGAGTGAGAGACTATGATAATAAAAATGGGTGCTTTGTAATCCTTGGAATAGTGAGTAGTAGCACAGTGTTTGTACTGTGTCAACCACTAAAATACCAAACAAGTAACCTGCAAATACCTAGCTTCCTAAGTTCTCCCAGGCCCCATTCCGAGGCTCAGGGAAGGTGAAGCTGGTTTAGAGACTGGTACTACATTAATGCTGCAGAAGGGTCTCACATGACAGTCAGGGAAGATGAATATAGGTTGTATAGATTTCTCTGAGATACAAAATCAGAGGCATGAAATGCAATTTTAATATTTTTTCTATTATAAATATTAAACCAAAATCATACAATTTATATAAAATCTTTACAATCTGTACACTTTTTCAGTCTTCTCAGACAGCATTAAACTTTTTCAAGTTGCCATAGAGATCAGTTACAACAAAATAACAGATGCTGAGAGAACAAAAACAGATTTCCAAAACATATAATCTAATCTAAAAGCAATTGTATTTAACCTGAATATGAACAGTAGCCCTGCCTTGTTAATTATATTACTCAATTTATCTTTACACAATCAGAATTCATGCTTACAAAATAAATGGGGAATGGTGCTTGTTCTTTCTGCATTCTAGTAAGTACAGCTGAACCTAGAGAAGGAAGAAGTGTTTCCATTTAACTTAGCCATAACAAGATAAATTTCAGTATCTCTATTTGATAACATGACTTCTAAACAGCACTTTTAGTTGTGTCTTTTTTTTCCTAACATAAAGCAGCTTGAAGATTAACACAGAGGCAAGTGATTCTTTCTGGGTAGCATTGTCAGTTCTAACATTTCCCTGTGGTCAGGTTCTGCTGTTGTCTTTCATGCAGGAAAAAGAAAGTCCCAAAAGAAAAGAAGGGATTAACAGCACTTCAGGGGAAAAAAAAAAAAGGGTGGGCGGGCAAGGAGGAAATAACTATTTGCTTTGGGCAAACAGAGAACCTGATGGTACTTAGCTCTGAAGTTATCCAGGTATCAACTGTCTTCGTTGAAGCAGGAAGTTTTCAGCACAAATGAAACACTGCACACTTGTTCCCTAAGACATTTCTGCAGACAGATCCCTTTTAAGTCTTTCAGATTGAACGAGCAAACTTCACAGAGAAACATCGGGTTAGCATTTAGGACTGTACAAATCTGTGGTCATAACTCAGTTTGGAGTATGAAGTACCTAGTTGTACAGTAGCCTTTCAGCCAGCTACTGATGTTAGGGAATTTTCCTTTTAACTACGAGGTTTTGTTCATGATTGCCGTATTCCATAATAGATAAAGTATATGTATATACACAAATTCTATTCAAATCCAGAGTTTAGACCACCAGTGAGCAGTTACCTTGGCTGTACAATGAGATTTATGAGTCTTAGCTGCTCCTCTGGGGTTTTTTTTAAATAAGTGAAAATATATTCAACGTTTTTCTTGTTTAATAGTTGTAGAAACAGACTTTTATTTGCTAAATGCCTATTAGAAATATACCTTGTGTAGTTCCCTGAATAGAGGACAAAATCAAGAAGCTCACAGAAAACAGGCGAACCAAGTTTGCAGACATGACCTGACAGTCATTCTGATTGCTTCACTGATCAAAGTGCAATTCCATGTTACTTGTTAATAATTCAGGTTTAGTGTCTGAGTTTAACAAGCTGCACAGTCTTCAGAGCTGTTTTTTTCCAATGCATTTCAGTTATTTACAGTAATGTTACAGAAAATCTACTCTTTCCTTCCATTTATTTTTACTTATATATAGGTTTGCAAGCACAATCCAATTTCAAAACAGAATTTTGAATCACTAAACTGGCAAGTAATTTCAAATTAGCTTTATAAAGTGTTCGTATACTTGATAATGACTGTAAATTGCAGATGTATATTTATACACTTGCCACTTTGAACACAGAGCACAGATGCTATTGTCATTGACTAAATTTCAATCTATAATGGACTTAGAAGTGTTATATATCTTACAAGTGTTGAGCATTAAGTGGACTTGGTTTCTGATGTTTGTATGTGTGATGACACCTGATAAATACAAGAAAGTTTTGTACAGCTCAATAAGTGTACAGATTATCTTGAAATGCAAATGCAATTTTCAAATTGACTATTTTGACAAGTAGATTTATCAGTAACTTGAAAGACTGTTTTATTTTCTCTTAACAATATGTACACTTTGTATTTAAGTTACCTCCCTCACACCTTTTACTATACAAAATTTACAGACATAGGAGCACACTCATCTTGACTCTTTATGTAAAGTGCATGTGAAATCTAGGAGAGAGAAAATGGAGAAATCTTGTTAGGAGCTCTGAAATGCAGTAGCTATTGCACAGAGAATGCTGTACAATTTCCCTCATGATATGGCTCTAAAGGTTCTGCTCAACAATGGCATCTACTTTGATGTGACAGAAATACAGTCAGCCTTGTCCTGTACCTACTGTATGGGGACAAGAAGTCATCCCTTAAACCAAGTAAGTGGAATTAAGTGTTCCAGGTCATAGCATGGAACACAAAAATGGAAGCAGTATTTAATGTCAAGTCTCTATAGTCTCACTTCTGTTACTTCAAGTGTTTGAGCAGCAAAACTTCTAAAGCTCTGAAAGATGTTTTAAAAATTGTCAGTTTATCTTAAAGTGTAAGGATCAATCAAATATCATTAGCTTAGCTACTTATTTTAAAGTTGTTGTTAATTTCTGGAATAAAATGTGACCATTCACTTCATGTTTTTAATTGCTTTCAGCTCCAAGTAGGAAGTTTTACTTACTCGGCTTTTATCAAACATTGTTTCTACAAAACTGAGTTTGGGCCAAATTTGAGGTGACACAGTCTTATGAATAGCTACTTTGTCAGAACATTTCTACAGTAAGGTGTGCTGCTGGCATCCAGGTCACTGGGAAATCAATATGGTCTTCAACATGAACAGAGACTTCTGCAAAACTCTCACTCCTTTTGAAAGCAAAAACCCAGAAGATACTATTTTCATTGCACAAATAATGCTAAATTACTTTACAAGGTCAAAGGAATGATTTTATACAGTTTGGGAGTGCATGTTTAAAAGGGAAATGTGCTGAGTAAAAAGAACATTTCTGCTTAACATCCTTCACATTCTCTCTCCAGTTCACTTGGTAAGCAGCTTTATCTCAGCCCCTCCTTCAGTCTTACATTCTTCCATCCCATAGGAGATTTTCCTCTCATCTGCTAGGAGCAGTCTCTGTGTTGTAGACTGTCAACTACATGATTTCTTTTCTGGATTGTGAGAGATTCAATTGTTTTATGTGCCTGTTCCAGTTGGATCTTTAAACCTTCATTGTCTGCCTTTAGAATATTCCTTTCCTAAATAAACAAACAAAAAAAAAAAAAAAAAAAAGAGAATTGTACTTTATAGTGCAGTTGTTTGAGGACTGTCTGGTTGTATACTTAGGTTGACTCCCATAAACATAAAATGGTGTAGCTCTCATCAGAACCAGTAATTTATATGAATATTTTCGCAGTCCCTGCTCTATTCTTTGTGTATCCTCTCACAGCTTTCCAGCAGCTGGTATCTGAGTCATTTCCACAACCTGCACTTATCCACCCTCCACTGCTCCTCATAACAACAGCAGTCTGGGGAAACGACAGCACAGGTCACACTTTACCACTCTACTGCTGCAGAAATTGATGTACCAGAAGCGAAGCCATTATTTCATAACATCATCTGCTGTTTAGTAATCGAGGTCGGAATCTGATGAAGGGAGCAAGGGCATGTGTAAATTATTGGACTCATATGAATGGGACATTTTAAAGAATGCATTTTTAGAGGTTACATCCAAGCTTCACATCCTTGTATTGAATATACTGTTGATTGAAAGGGAAGTGGTTTGTACTGGAAGATTGTCTTAATCTCTGTTAATGGTTAATAAACCATTCATCTTTGATAAAACACGAGTTCACTTTATCAGCAGCGAGGGATATTTTGAATGTTGTAGTCATAATTCAAAGATTAAACTGTGGTCCTTTTGTTGGACTGTTCCCATGCTGCTTCATCACAGAATAGTGATAAATATTGAGTAAAAAGTATGAAAATAAGTCTTAGTTCCTCATAATTATAGCTGGACCCATCTATTAGTTGCACTGTTAGAATTGTATTAGTCTCTTTAATCTGTCTGGAAAGGTGTTTCTACAAACCTGAATTTGTACCATGTTTGAGGTGACACAGTCTTATGAATAGCTATTTTGTCAGAACACTTCAGAGTAAGCTGAGACACAACTGGGGTGATGTTGGTGAAATTTAGCAAGAAGCATCATGTCTATTCATAGCAAAATTTCTTGGTGGTGCTTACACTTGTCAGTTGAACAAAAACAACCCTGCCTTCCCAGCCCCATATATTCTGTCACTTAAGAAAGCAGAGGCCACCAAAATCAGGAGGAAATTCAGAACTATGTTCCTCATTTTATGGAGTAACATTCTGTCCTGAGTGATTGGATTATGTTCACATTCTAGAACTGGCAGGGATCAATGTGATCATAACTATGGCTTCAAAGCCCTGTATTAGCACTAAAATTTATCATTTAAGTGAAACATTGCTGGAAGTTAAAGTGGCTAAGGCTTTATGATGCCAGCCATGGATTGTTTAATGGCAATTAAATTTGCAATTAATTACACTGAGGTAAAGTGACACCTTCCCACCCAGCCACTCCCCCACACATTAACCACTTGACCTGTTGTGTAAAACAGAATTTGTTCCATCATGTATGTACCTGCTCAAGTTCCTGGTATGAGGGTTTACAGCTGTGATGCTCCTCCTTCATTTTCTGGCTGGAGTCCTTGTTTTCCCATTTAACAAATGCCTTTCTGCGGCCT